TACTGTTACGTCTCGTTTCAGATGACGTGGCTGCCCCTGTTCCCCTTTCAAACACTCCAGGTTAAGCGTTGAATAATTTGGTCGGACCGAATTTCACATCCATAGCGGGATAGAAGAGGGGAAAGTCGGAATAGGCAATCTGGTGAGAGGGCAAGAGCACTACAGTTCATCTTTCCTCAATCTCTCCTTCTTCAGGTGGTGGCGAGTGGCGCAGGCAACGTAAGCTTGACGTTGCCATGGGATAACCTAGGGTAACCTTCATTTTCCTTTCGCCCTTTTTCCTCGACGTTTTCCATCGAAGTGCTCTTATTTGAACGTCTCCTACGACTTAACCTTCATTCGTGGAGATGGTCTACCTAGAGCCGCGATTCCAGTTAGACCATCTCTACGAGTCCCATCAGCGCCATAGCTAGTTTTAAAGGGTGATTTTCTAAGCAGTCTCGTTAAGACTTGAAGCGCTGGGCGCTGGAGTCACTGCATGACCCATGAATTTGTCGAAGTTCTTTCTCCACTGTAGAGCTTCCGTCCTCGATAGCGCTGCCTCGGCGGTACTCTTAATAGATAGTATTAGGTTGGAAAGAAAGACCTGCGACACACGAGCATAATTTCTGATCAAATTCTCCTTCACTAAGCTACACCTCCAATCTACAAGGTAATCACCGTTAATATCAAGGACAAGTGCCCACCTTTCTCACAGCTCGATTCCATTCTTATAGAACTACGGCAACTATGATAAAAAGAAGAGGTGGACCTCATTTTCGAGTAGACGTCAATTTTGGGAATTTTTGCTAACTGAAGGATGCGGTAGGGATCAAAGGAGGGGTAATAAGAGGCTCTGGTAAATAAGCTGGGTACGGTCGCACTCTTTGATCAAGATCCATGATCTTTTGGCGTAGCCTGATCCCCACATGCGGTCTTCGCATTGCCGAGTAGTAGAGAAAAATTGAGTATTTCTGAATGAATTCAAGCGTGACGTCATCCATGTTTTGAAGTTGATTAGGGTGGACTGTGGTCCTTACAGCTGTGCTAGTATCCAGCGATACCGCTTTGAAGTCCCACCAATAACACACTGAAATCTTTATCCGTGCACATCTGATTTTGGCTAACCAGGCCACTATTTTCCTTGGGAGGTCTTGTGAAGGTTATGTGCATGTTTTACTCAAGAAATCCAGCCGAGCTTACCAACCACAGTGTCTCAGGAATATTTACAAAGAAAAGAAAACCCATTCGCCACCATTCGATGCGTTTTGTCAGATAACTCATATGGCATCCTTTACAGAAAGGGAGGGCGAAAGAATCGTAAATTGCCGCTTCGTCGCGCGCGGCAATGGGCGCGACGTTCCCTCAATTTGCACTACCCTTTCGACTGGAGCATCGGATTTCATGTAGACAAGGACATGGTAGACACTTATGTCTATTTTTGGTCATACATTGTCTATTCTCGACCAATACCACCTAAAATCGTCGTCATTAGCGGGCGCGACGTCGCACGCGACGCCCATTGTCGCGGCGAATTACGATTCTCTTGCCACATACCCTCACAGAAAAATTTCCACGTCACCAGGATTGCGGAGCTTATGGTTAGGTGCAGCCCAGAGATGTTGCCAATTTATTGGTGGTTACGTTCGGCCGCACCTCCAGGGGTTTAGTAAAGGGCCACCATTCTGTGTTGGTGGCCGACCCTATCTTGAATGAAATGACTTCATTTAGCAAGCTCTAATACCACTAGAACACTGTAGCATGACAAGCGACATCCTTTACGAAGACGCAGATGTTAGCTTCCTCGACTACGATGAAGTGGCCTTTCAGGGACTCATAATATGGGATAGGTCGAAAAGTACCTTGACCTTTGGGGGACTTTCAAGCTATAAAGCATTCACAAGGCCATAATGTACCCGTCTGCAAAAACCCCAGAGAACATCCTCCATTAATCAGAGGTGAAAACAATTGAAAGGTTTTTTGTTTTTTCAGAGCAATTTGTTGGAAGTGTCACAGGAGTTTCTTTCCAACCTGATGACTAGATGGAGTCGATTGTACATTATCGCAGAAGGAATGGCCTTTTATCAACGAACTTTCTAAATTGTAGTGTGGTCTAAGGGAACCGAGCGCACGTTTTTTTCATTGAAGAAATTGTATTTTTTTTTAAGAAATTGTACTTTTTTTGTACCCCTCACTTCCCGGACATACTATATGTATCTCTCTTCACATACTATTTCATTCGCCTTCGGAAGTTCTTGCAATTGTAACATTCATAGTCGAACCAAGAAGTCTGGTTCTTTCTCAATAATTGACTATTACTGCGCTGATCGGTTTGAAAGGGGCATTTTGTACTTTCACTGACTCCTTTTGCTAGTCCTTTTGACTAAAAGGTCCTATTTGGAGAAACCTGTAAACTTTTGCGAAGTTAAGAATTGGTGCACGTGAGCCGGTTTGGTTGAGAGAATCCACAGTTCTTCACAGAGTGGCCTGTACAAGCTTCGATGACTATTTACCATTACTTGCCCCACCAAGCCAAACTGCGATGTTTTTTTTGTTGATCAAACATCTCCTTCTCGATAACCGTCGCTGTTTCCAGTGAATAATAAGATGAAACCTAAACCATGGAACCTTTTAAATTATTGACGAGGTGTTATGTGGCGAGGAACCGTCGAAAACACGTTCGGAATTCTGATGTAATTGCATTTCTGAAGTTTATTCGATCCAAACGCTTCACTTCCTCACCCCACCCCCATTTTTCACCCACGCGAATAAGGCATGTAACTTATAAGCGCTGCTGACCATCTGCCTCGAATTCAAGTCCTTTTACTGCGTCCGCGACCAGGTTTAGATTTCTTTAAGGTTGGATGGCGTCACGGACAGGTAAGCGCTTTTTTTGTGGTCATTCTAAAAGTTCTACCAGCATTCACCGCTATGATTTGGAGGGACCGTAACAGGCCGTAACACTGCTCAGGCTGCCTAGAAGGCTGAAAAGGTACTCGAAATAAGACTGGCTGCACGCGTTGCACGCAGAAGCCATCAAGCTGGTACAGCATTGTTGTGAACACATAGGGGAGTCGTACTTTTCCGCTGGGGGGAGGTCGTATTTGGTCACTGGGAGAGATAGGTCGTATGTGCCGTTTGAGAGAAATTTGCTGGGGAAAGATTCTTCGCGGTTGTTGACATTTTGTGTGATTTTGCCTGTTTCATGTTACTATCTATACACACCCTCGTTCGACGGTAAATATTTAAAGCTAAGAAGGAAAGTCTGGTAAATCCCGGAGAAAGTGGTAGGAAGTTGGGGATAATTCAGGAAATTTTTTAGATTTTATTTAGAAAAGATTTTAGAAAAGAAGATTTTAGAGAGAAGAGATTTTTGAGGATTATAGAAAAGATTCACATTGGCTATGCCCCCCCCCCCCCTCCCGCTCGACGGAAAATCTTTGGGTGAAAACACTGGTACTGGAAAATGTGAGAAGTTGGTAGGTAGTGTTGGCGAAAGGGGAGGGAGGTCGTACCTAGACTCTCATTTAGGTGGGGGGGGGGATCTCGCTGACACCCTCTCTTGGAGTGGGGGAGGTCGTACCTTCACCACCGTTTCACACATCGTGATGCTGTACCCTAATAACAACAGAAGAGACCACGCTATAAAGGAGGGGGAGGTGGGTAATTGCTGAGGAAGAACAGGCTATGGCTCAACAAACATTGTTCTTCTAATTAGGCGGAGGCGGTGTGATGGTGCTCTTTGCCACGTGCACCTTTCTGACGCCAAGTGAGACAAAAACATTGACTTGGACATGTCTGCCCCCCCCTCATAGGCCAAACCGCATTCACCACGCCACTACCCCTCTGAATGGGAGCATGAACAGTGCCTGACGCCGACTCCTTATCCTTCAACTTTCAATTCTTCTAGTAAGAGCTTATCATTACCAGCGACTTTCGTCCGTCGCCCGGCATGCTGTCACTAAATTCCCCGAAGTAAAGTGCTTTTAACAATTTTTTCTGCACAACACATTCATCCGCTAATTTTTTTGAAAATCAGACCAGATTTTTGGTTTCTTTATTCTCTAGTGGTAAAAATTTGTTTCGGAGGAGGCAGAGGTGGTGTAGTGGGAAGTGGCATGCTCCGGGGATCAGATACTGGACCGGCTGGCTCAAAACGCACGACTTGGGCTTGTTCCAAGTGATTTTCTGGAGGGTGGCGGGGGTCTTATTTTGCAATTGTTCCCTCCCTCAGGACGTGCCCTGTTCCGAAAAACGGTTCATTGAACAGCGGAAGCTTGACCCTTTCATCCCATAATATTCATACCCACTGGACTGCCTGATATTCCATATTCCATCTGATCGTCGTTTCCTCCTGAATGGCTTATTTGTCCTGTGTTGTTTTGCCTTCTGAAGTTTTGAAGTGGAATAATTCTTTCAGGGGCCGGAGAATGTCCCACCTCTACTCGGAAATCACAATAATACTACTCATATTACGAACGGTCTGGGTTACTGACAGCTGGGGAACTTTCTCAAGACTACTTCAGCCCACTTTGAAGACCGCCGGATCACTTCATTTTGCACAGCTGGCACTTTGAATGTTTTTATTTCAAATTAGATTTCTTTTCTTTCTGGTAAGTCGTTTAGAGGGAGCTGGATAACTTTCAGAATCTTGTCTGAAGGTCGAGAATCTTTTGACTACGACGACAGCTGTCCAATTACTAACTCGGATGTGATTACATAGTTACTTTTATGAGGTAATGAAATCAGGCGCCCTTGAAATGGTTATTGGCCTCGTTCTAATCGTATCCTATTACCTTCGAATGTCGGAAACGCCTGGAAGAAATCCGATTTCCCAGGAACACGTTTCCATCGCTTCTGGTAAGCATCTCCCTCACTCTTGTGTCTCTCCTCAGCCGAACAGAATACCATTTTCTTACTTGGGGAAGGAGTGAAATCCGTTTGCTCAGAATGGTTTCCGGTCAGCCATTTGCTGGCTTTTTCATATCTCAGGGTTGAAGGAGGAGTCTCTACGGACGTGGATGCGATGGAAACGGAGGCAGGGTCCGACTCATAGGGTTAGAAGAGCAACGACGTTTTGTCGAGATATCCGTGCTCTCTTATGTGCCTCTTGTCTACGTCTCTGCTTGGAGCGGCAACTTCTCGCCGCTCTCGCGGCCGGGACCGTGGACACTCCCCCTCCAACTCTGGGAATTTGATTTTACCTTCTGACAGCATCGCGGTGATGCACGCGCGACCAAATCGTGCAACCAGGGCACATCATTGGTTGGGTATCTTGGTCAAGTCCGTGCAACCCCTCCTGGTAGGTGGCTTGATACGAGCCCGCTCCACTCCTAGTTCCCTCTCTGGCACGATCGTCGGGGGGTGGGGGGAGGGAAACAGGAGAAACCGCAAGAAGCCAACAATCTGGAAGAATTTTCCCAACGCCGCAAATTTCTCTCAGAAAGCAAATACGATCGCCTCCCTTCCAATAACGAGCAAACACGACCCCCTCCCCCCTGTAGGGGATCCTCAAAGATGATGTGCCCTGCGTGCAACTGTTCGTTGTTGCACAATTGGCGTGCAGTGTTATTGCGCAGGTGAGGTTTTAGGGGTTTTCCAGTATTTTTTGAGTGCCGTTCCTTTCAGTATAATATTTCGATTTTCTTTAATTGCTTCAATTCCTCGAGCTCTGTGGACCTGATTTGTGAGCACATATTTTTATCCTTGAACATGCACCGTGAATCTCTCTTACGTTGCCTTTTCAGGACTATTGATGCGACTAATGCGGACAATGTCGCGATTTTCTTGTACAGACCGTGTTTCGCTTATCCAGTCGATTGGCTCATAAAGAACTTCCTCAATAATATTTTCCGACTTCTCATTTTCCGTGTTCTGTGTCGTACGAGTGCGGATCTAAAGGCACACTGCTTCACCCACCCAAAAGCTTGAAGATTCCTCCGTATAAAATGTCGAATGGGCATTTTTGAATTTTTCTGTGGCAAATAATGTATCTGGTTTCAATTTAATATGGTTTTTAACTTATCAAAAACTTCAACCTTTTATTTTTATTTTTATTTTTATAAATTTTTATTTTTGATATGCAATATCAAGTAAAAACGTTGTGGTCCCAGCCCCGCAGGGTCTATAGCCATCGGGGACGTCGTCTTTGGGGAATCCCAGAAGTGGGGTCGCGTTTGCTTTTGAGGGAACTTTTTTTCGGTTATTGCTTTTTCTCGGTTTTTCTGCTTTCACGTACATTATATATTCCTATCCCCCTTCCTACCACGCTCGATGGCAAGTTTTCTATTGGGTACTTTCTTTCGGGATGAGGGGGGAGGGGGGCAGTGGGGAGTTTTTGAAAAAAACACTCGGGAAAACCGTTGGAGGGAGCTGCTATATTTTATGAACGGGGTTGTACCAGAGCAAGAAATTTTGAGAAAGGGGTGTATTTTGGAGAATTCTTCCGTCCTCATAGCCGTCCTAATATGGTCCTGATAGCCATTTTACGATAATCAGAAAACCGCCCAAAACAAGTTCGAAGTACCATGGAAGTAAGACTTCTGAATGACGTTGCGATCGATTTCCTAGCTTTTCTTCGCGTCAAGTTTCTGTTTTTCTCTGCACGCTCTCATAAGCATGGTGTTGGTGAAGTCATTGTGACGTCGCAGAATCCAGCTTTCCATGCATGGAAGGTGGCCTATCTACTCCAGTCTCCTCCACTGAATAAGCTCGTTCCCGGTTCGCCACATGTTTTTTGCACCCTTCCCCTGTGAAAGTGCGCCCTGCGCAAAGTAGTTTAGGTAATTACGTAACCTTTCGCGAGTATTTCACTCACTGTTATCTAGTCTCTTGATCGCGCACTGAGTGTCTCTGCGTCTCTGCTCACAGCACACTCTTTCAGTGCTGAAGTCAAGATCATCGTTTGTCACGTTTTGGCTATTTCTTCTTCCTTTTTTTTCAACCGAACAGAGGCGTTGCTTTTTCGTTCAGTACGTTACTCATACTATCGTTCACAATGTGCCTAAATTGTCCACCACCTAATGCTTAATGTCGAAGACTCATCAGCTCATTTTGAATTTCTCGACGTTGACTTTGCATCCTAAGCTCCTATTATGACATTGTTAGGCAGGAACTTTTATTTGTCCAACGTTCCGACTTTCCGCGTCGTTTTCCAAGGCGTAAACATGGCTCAAAGCTAAACAAGTGATTTGTGGTCAAAAATCGCGCTAAAATAAACAGGACTAAGAATGGGCCCAAGTGAGCATGACTCTTCGATGTTGTGCTGGAGCCTAATTAGGCATGTCGCTTACCTTCTGTACATTCTCTTCTACTCCACAAGTGACGTCAGTAGCGCTAGGGGGATTGGCGTCTGTGGGATAGACGGCTTTTTATAGCTTTGAGCCACGGATAGGCAACACGGCGGAATGTCAAAGCCTCGACCTCTCTCTCGCCTGAGGGCTTTATACTTCGCTATCTTGGAGCGCGTTCATCACGCGTCGTATCGCGAAGTATGAACGCGCTCTACCAGACTCGTTACTTTAGCCCTGACGTCAATTATCGATTTCGCGATACTATTTTTCAAAGTTTTTGTACTAATTCTCGTGAATTCCAGAATGATTACTACAACGCAGGCCACCGTTGCTGTATAATTCAACGCTGGCCGTTGATGATCCAATGGAAAAACTGAATTATTTAAGAGTATCTACACATGGTTGATACCATTGATGATTATTATTCTCGCGGTAATTTATATTTTCTTACAGTGGTTATTTTTCAATTATTTTACTTTCTATAGGGCGAAAACTGGTGGTGCCACCCGTAAGTGTGGGGGGGGGGTGACAACTCTCTAGCAATCGCTCGTGTGTTGTTCTTTATCAAGGTTTGACCTAATTTGACACTCCTAATTCATTGTCATGCTGGACTCTGGCTGACTCGTGGTGGTCTGCGTTCTAGGCCGATACCGCTAGCCAGGTGCCCCCGCCCTCACCAGGGAAGTCGCGCAAAAACTTACCATGGAATCCTTGAGTGAGATTGGGTAGACCGATAGAGTCTATACGAGGTCCATACGAGGATTGAATGGGGGGAAAACGTGCATAATATGAAGGAAATTTGTGTATCTGCATGATTCTGGTGAAGGTGCAAGTACACGGCGCATTCCCAAAGTAGGGCTGAGCAGGCTGTTTGTTGAGGTACCTCGAAACAAGGAAGTCGTATTCTGTCGCTGGGAAAAGGGATTGTATTCGATTTAGTGGAAACCTACATATTTGATTATTGCTTCTCTCATTCGAACCCTCATCCTCCAGTTCAGTGACACTGGACCTTTAATCAATTTTAATATTTTGGATGGTTAACCGCTTATTTCTACGTTCACCCTCATACCAATCCGGGGTCGCGTCTGTGGAAGAAGACGGCGCTGTTACCACTAAAAGAAAGAGAAACATGCCGCCTCCGTGGAAAAAATTAATCGTCCGCAATTAGAAATCGCACAGCACGCTCTTTTGACCCAAAATTGATGATTTCATGATTTGGCAATTACGTTTTTCGTTGACTATTTTTTAGTACAATTGCTTTCTTTTTTACTGTTTTTTTTGATTATTTTATTTGTTCTGATGTTGAAAATTCTAGTTAGCCATCATCGGTAACGGACTGATTGTGTTGTCAGCACCATTTCTTTCGTCACCAGTATCGCCCTACCTGAAATTGTGTAATTAGTCTTGCAGCCGATATTGGGCCCTGCGTCCTTTGCTCATTACAGGTAATATATCTTCCGAAAGGACAGCACTCGAGCTTTCCGGAACCTTTTCTAGGAAATAATAAATAATTCGCCTAAATGGCAAAACAACCAGCTTTTGCGCTTCCTGTAGGTAAGGGGGGGGGCGTCAAAAATTAAATAGGTACATCCGTTCAGACATCATTGTCCAATGCATAGAATTGCGTGCTACATTTTGGATCTGGCCCTTTCTGGGAAGGGGTAGTCGTCTAGGTGGGAGAACGCGCCTCAATTGTTTTTTTTCTGTAAAACATTGATCCAAAAGGATGACGAATTCGGATGTGGTCGAGCGCTTTTCCTGATGCGCCATACACTCCACTTCCGTTTGGGATCGTAGAGAATTTTGCTTGCGATTGGGCCTAAATGAAAACTAACGGAGACCACTCTATCCAGGATATCCTTCCAGTCGAGTCTGGTACCAACCGACTAACTCTGGAGGGCTGGAGGTTCCTCAGCAAGCTCCGGTATTTAGTTCACCAAAGAGAGAGCGCATTGAACGATGCTAATTCCCTCCTGTTCCCGACCAAGGCTCTTTTTCCCGAGGTGGGGGCTGAGGGGGGGGGCACGCGCGACCTCCCTTAGGTATTGTCTCATCCATCTTGTCTTACTACGAGCTTTCTACAGCTTGATACGGATATAATGCCATTTTCGTATTTAATGGGAGGACAAGCAGATCTGCCATGAGATGGCCGCGTGCCCACCCTCCCCCCCTCCCCGACCCTCCAGCTACCCTTACACTTTTCACTCTAGGTTGTGGGCTCCTTTGAAACAAAAGCTAATCCTTTTCTCTGAGCCCTTCCCTTGATAACCAGTGAACCGATAAAATAATGCTTTTTTCAGGATTAGTGGTGAATTCTTACTTACCAGTTGTCATCGGAGTACAAAGGTCATCAAAATGTGTGGACGCATGGCTGGAGATGTTTCGTGTTTCGGGTATGCTCACCTCAGACATGCATCTGTTCGCCTTGGCTATCAATCAAGTTCTTCGGCACTATGTGGCCTTTGAAATATAAGGTAATTTTGCTAATTCTACTGCTAATGAGGCCTTAGATCATAATTTTGGGAAAGAAACCTTGTGGGGGAAACCGTGGGAATCCTGAAAAACAGTTTCCATCGTTCTTGTCTTTTAGGTAATGGTGACGACTCGCCGTATACGATGCATCGTGCTCAGTCTCTGGATCGTTCCGCTCCTATTTGTGTTCTGCTGGTGAGTGATTAAGCTTAGGAAAGTTGCCTGATTGGTTGGCGAGCGACCGAGCCAATGAACACTCGGATAGAAGCAAGGCGTCTCGCTGTTGAGGAGTTCTTAACAGGGGATGCGAATTTTGGAAGGAAAATTCAAGTAATCTGGAAAACAAGGCGATTTTACCGTTCCCTCAGGTGCGATATATGCCTGCTCTTTTCTAGGAAGAGGAAGGGAGGAGGGTAGATGATGTTCAGCTTCTAAGTGTTCAATGAGGTCTCTTTGAAGGCAGCGGTGTAGGGATGTTGTAATCCATGACCAATAAAGCTTGTACTTTGAGAGAAATAAGTTATAAATATCTCTAAATATGCTTCTTCATCTTCCTAGCGTTTTTTTCCAACTTCTGTCGGATTTGCTTTTTTCACCATGACTTTTTTATGAATATTATGTCTGTGAGGCGGAGGTGGTGCAGTGACAAGTGGCGCGCTTACCACTCGCGCGGTCCTGGGTTCAAATCCCGTGTCTGGCACAGAACAACCAAGCCTTCTACCCCCCGGGACGGCCTTCTTACCCCCCCACCGCTCGGCACGAAACCTCCTGGCGCCCGCGCCACAGGCGCCGGCGCCAAAATACACTAAATCACCAAATTTGCTGAAAACTTGTTCCCAGGGGTAGTCTGACCTCCTGAACACGAATATCACATCCGCTCAGCCCGAAACCTCTTGGCGCCCGCGCTGCAGGCGCTGGCGCCAAAATATCCCGAACCACCGGCGCCTGTGGCGCGGGCGCCAGGAAGTCTCGGGCTAAGCGAATGTGATATTCGTATTCAGGGGGTCAAACTACCCCAGGAGACAACATTTGAGTCAAAATCTGTGCACGGAGAAAAAAGTCTGGTCAAAACGGTCTGGCATTTCTGGATGGTGGCGGCGTTAGAAGGCGTGGAATAGTGCCTCTTTTTTTATAATATCTGCAAATATGGTCGGGTAGCAAATAGACTAGTGGATTCGTAATTAATTATTCTGGAACCTTGGTAATTATATGGGCTCAGAACTAATTATGAATCTCGCAATGAAGAACAATTAAATAATTAATTAGTTGCTTTCAGGTTTATTTCTGGAGAAAACGATGGTTTACGTCACGAGAAATGTCATATGTTTTTCTACAATCGATTTCCATTCCGTATCACAATTTTCCTGATATTTATCATTCCACTGTTGGCCACACTTCTCATCTATGGACTGATCCTTTCCAAACTGCTTAAAGCTAAAGCTGAATTCGAAATGACCTCGGAAAGGTACAGTGCTCTTCCAGTTACCGGCTCCGCCCATTCTTTTACCACAGAATATGTCTGCAATTATGGCGTATTTGGAGATCCCCCACTCCTCTGATTGAGCCTGTATTTGAATGATTCCGCCCGTTTAGACGTACCGGGACCCGTCGATCAAACGTTCACTCAAAGTTGAAGCTGGTCCGAACCACTCTGCTCATCGTTTCTACATTCTCGTGCAGTTGGGGTTTATGCGTGTTATACTTTGTACTGGTGTGCGTTGATGGATGTCCGTTCACCTACAACGTAAGTGGAAGCTCCGCCCCTTTGTATATACTCCGCCCATATTTTGAAGACGATCGACCAATGTGATTCAGGTATCCTCAACTTCTACCTCGGCTTATTCCTGAACTCAACCGTCAACTGTCTGGTGAGTGAATTTTGATAAAATGAATGCTTATTCAGAGCCAAAGCCCCAGGCGGGACTTGAACCCGCACCTCGCGCTTACCGGGCGAGTGCGGTAACCGCTGCGCAGTCCGTTACAATGACAAACCAAGTTCTCAAACTTTGTTCAAATAGAGGCCGCTTTTTCATGTGTCTAGCCTTGTGTGCATCTGTCAGTAGTAGACGCGAGCAGCTGCGATGCGGTTCAACTAAACGAGCCATTCTATCACGCGAGTTCAGAGGCAATGGGAATCGACCGCGCTCCACCGCTACTTTTTGCACCCCTGCGACGACTAATCCAAGCACACCATAGTAGTGAATGCGATCAGGGCACAGCATCGTTGATGCATCTATCAGGGGGGGGGTCGTATTTTGGCGCTTGGAAAGGAGGTCGTATCCGGCCTTGAAAGAAGTTCTTGCAAACCCTGACGAACGATCCTCGGCCTCACAAAGTTACTGATTTCCGTTCTATTTTACAAAATTGTTAAAGATAACGCAAAAATGCATACGTGTAGACGTTTGTCTGGACCTCGACGCGCGCGGTTGCGGCGCAGCACCTGCCCAGAGTGCATGCATTGGCCCTCAGTTTCTTTCAAAATGATTGAGTATTGTTGTTGCCTCAGAGAAATCGTCTGTATTGCAGGTGATGCTAAAGCTGGCGTCAAACCCGTTCATCTACACCTTACGAATTCGAGCCATCAAAAGCAGTGTGGACACCTTCCTTGCAGCACTTTTCCATCGAAAAACGTATCCTACGCATCTCACCGGCAAGACTACCAACGCACTTTTGGGTAATAGTTCTGCCGGTGGTGTTTCGCTTTAGGACCCACCCAATTGTTCCGTTACCTCTTTTTTGGCTGGCCTTCAGTCAACGTCAGTGTTTTCATGATATCATCATTGTGATTCCCATATCGACTGATTCGTCTGCTTTCTATGTTTTTTCTCTCTCATAGTTCTTTCCTATTCCATACAGTATCGATTTCATTGATTTTTCCATTTGCGAGAATCTTTGCCTTTGTTTGTTACGAGTTACGAGTATGTACATATCCCATGTTTTTCTTTGTGATCTCTCGCTTTAATGAATGGTTCTTGAAGGAATGGACCATGGAATCGCTTTATACACTTTCTCATATTTTTTCGCTTGCGGAGGAATTTTCTGCACTTGCGGTAGGAACAATTTATTTCACGACAAGCAGGGAATATCTCAAAAGTTCTACTAAATCGTTTCGTTTGGTAGCAAAGTTCGATTAGTGAAGTCAAGCTGATGGCCTTGTCTTTATTCCTTGCTGCGAATGGCCAGACGCTGCACTGTGGCGTTTGTTCCCGTTATTGTCGCGCGCGACAAAATCGCATTGTAACACAGGGAAAATTCGCAGTCTGAGAACTTATCGCAACCGTATCCCGCGCGCTTGTTCTGACACCAGCATGTGGGGACTCGTACGGCCAAGCCATTTTACAAGTACAGAGGCGGCTCAGCTTATAGCTCTATATGAGGCATTTAAAGCTGGATTTTTCTGCCTTTTTCTTCTTCAATTTGTGCTATTCACCATCTTGTCATCAGTATTTGGGCCGCGCATCTCACCATTTTTTGACGTGGGGCGTGCCTTTGAGGCCTCTTCCGAAATCCCAGCACTTCGTTGCAGTCTAAACGAAATGAGCAAGACGTTTCATTGCAAGTACCGCGTAGTTTCGATGGGCGTGACGATGAGAGTGCTACGATATATTTTTGCCCTCCATATCACGGAGATAGGGGGCGTGGCTGCGTAATTCATCCATGGTAACGGTGGTATGCTTTTGGTGGGATATTTTCGTTGTGGCAGCTGTATCAAGTCGCTGTCCAACACAAGATGAGATGACAGTTGTCTCGAATGGAATTATTTCGAGAAATCCTACACTATGATAAATAAAGTACGCAGCCACGCCCTCCCCATCGCCGGTATGTACTGTCCTCAACAAAAAAGTTGTCCAGACTTGCATTAGAAAAAGTTTCATTGAGTTTTTTTTTTCACATTGACTGCAATCCAGTTTTATATCAACTCCTAGTCCACGAGAACTATGAGGGCGGAGGCGGTCAACCATTGTACCCTCCTCATTGTCCCTGCTTTGTCCCTCTCGTCCACTGCTTCAGAACGAGGGGCGTTCCCGTGAGATAGACACAATAGTTTATTGTCTCCTCCCAGGCGCTCAACGTGGAAAGCGCCTTGGTTACACGAAAACAACGCGCTTTACAGGCGCCTCCCAC